TCCCGACGCGTGAACACGAAACAATCTTGAACGACGTAATCCAATTCCTAAAATCCAACGTATTCGATTACAATTGTACCTATCATTTGGATTATAATTATAACTGTGGATTTATTATCTCATTATTTTAATTATACGTACATTATCTCACAAACATTATAGAACATAACGATAATATTCATAATAAACAACGATATTTTTACAAACAATTGATATTTTGGTGCAATTTAGTAAGTCTGTTCTTTGTTATAAATTATACCATTTGTTTTTATCATTGTTTTTATCGACTCGCTTTTCTCTGTGACATTCGCATTATATTCGTGTACTTTTTGATCTTTATGAATATGTCTTTAAGCAACGATACAATAGAACTTTCCCAAACGCCGTCCGTGAGGTCCATTAATGTAACTATTCCTCCTTTTAAGGTCACAGATCCTCAACTTTGGTTTACCAGACTTGAACATTACTTTGTAGCTAATCGTGTTCATACACAGCGAGATAAATTTGGCCACGCGAGCTCGCTACTTCCAGATGAAGTAGCAGATAATGTACGAGAGATTTTAATCAAGCCAGACATAGAAAAGCCATACGACGCATTAAAACAGGCAGTGATTAAAGCCGTCTCATTAAGCGACCGGCAAGCCATCGAACAACTTCTCAGTCAAGTGCAGATAGGAGATAGGACTCCATCTCAACTAAAAAACTACATGAGAAGCATAATCGATGACAGAGAAGTAGATAAAAACATATTTTATCAGTTGTGGTTACGACGACTTCCAGCGAACGTGCAGCAGATCCTTGCGGTTGAGCACAGCGATGTCGATATAGACAACATTGCTAAAATAGCCGATAGGATTTATGAGAGAATGAAACAAACGAGTCCGCAAGGGCATAGTACCACAATAGATGGACGAATCGATGCATTACAAAAGGAGATTAATGTTTTATGCCACAAGCTGATGAAACTAAATCAGAGCGAGACGCAAAGAGGATGGTCACGAAGTAGATCAAGGGAAAGAAGTCGATCACGTTCTAGGAGACGCTCAGCTCCTACAATATGTTGGTACCATCAAACTTTCGGCGATAAAGCTCGAAACTGTAGATCACCATGTAAATTCAAACGAACACACCGATTGTCGATAACCGCCGCAACAACTACAACAGCTCCTAGAAACAGTCGTTTATTTTACGTTCAGGATAGAGTAACAGGCGCTCAATTCTTAGTGGATACGGGAGCAGAAGTAAGTGTCGTGCCTCCAATAAGTAACGAAACACGAAATATCGATACAGCGCTAACACTTAAAGCAGCAAATAAATCCGATATAAAAACATATGGCAAGCGAAAAGTAACCTTGAATTTCGGTCGTACTACCTCATTCCGCTGGGAATTCATTATCGCAGATGTATCCGTACCTATAATTGGTATTGATTTCTTAAAGAATTTTCACTTACTAGTGGATACCCGACGAAACCGGCTCGTGAACGGCGACCATTCAGTAGTGATAAGAGGACTGACGACTGATCACGCATCCATGAATTTAGTAGTGTCGAAAGACAAAAACGAGCCATATAGATCGCTTCTAAACGAGTATGCCGATCTGACGAAGGTATCATACGATAACAGAGATCTTAAACATACGGTACAGCACCATATTATAACGAAAGGTCCACCGACTAAATCAAGACCACGAAGGCTAGACCCGAAAAGGTTGAATGTCGCGAAACGAGAGTTCGAAAAGTTGACGAAGCTTGGTATCATAAGACCTTCTAATTGTCCCTGGGCGTCCCCATTGCATATGGTGTCGAAGAAGAATGGGGAAATCAGGCCATGCGGAGACTATAGAGCCCTTAACAAGCAAACGATAGCAGACACATATCCGATACCACATATTCACGACATTACTACCAATATGGAAGGTGCCACGATATTTTCGAAAATCGATCTCGTTCGAGCTTATTACCATATTCCCATAGCGGCAGAAGATATATCTAAAACGGCTATAACTACTCCATTTGGGTTATTCGAGTTTTTGCGAATGCCCTTCGGATTAACTAATGCAGCCCAAACCTTCCAAAGATTCATCGATCAGGTCGTCAGGGGATTGACAGGAGTTCACGCATATATCGATGATATACTAGTAGCTAGCTCTACCAGAGAAGAACATCTACAACATCTACGACAGTTGTTTACGAGACTTCAAGAACATGGCGTCACCATTAACGTGGAAAAGTGTGAATTTGGAAAGGAATCATTGCAATTCCTAGGTCATATGATAAATTCACATGGTATCATGCCAGTTCCGACAGAAGTTGCTGCTATTCGTAATTATCCGTTGCCCGATTCACAAAGAAAATTACGAAGATTCTTGGGGCTAATAAACTATTATAGACGATTTATCCCAAACTGCGCAGCAATATTACAGCCATTGACGGACGCCTTGCGAGGACATACTCGAACATTCCGTCTATCAGCGGATGCTATACAGGCTTTCGAGAACGCTAAGCGAGCGCTAAACGAGAAGATGATGTTGGTACGACGAAAGAACGAAGCGCCATTAGCAGTAATGACAGACGCATCGAACTTAGCAGTAGGAGCCGTTTTGCAGCAGTTAGTAAACGGTGTATGGGAGCCACTTTCATTTTTCTCGAAAAGATTAAATCCTACCCAAGCGAGATATAGTACGTTTGGACGAGAATTATTAGCAATCTACTTAGCAATAAAACACTTCCGTCATATGGTCGAAGGCATAAGTTCTACCGTCTATACAGACCACAAACCGCTAACGAAAGCATTAAGCGCAAAGCAAGACAATTATTCCTCGAGAGAGATCCGACAACTAGATTTCATTTCACAGTTCACGTCCGACATACAGTATGTTAAAGGACAAGAAAACGATGTGGCCGACGCATTGTCACGAGCAACGATAAGCACACTTGTGGCAAGTGGAATCGATTATAACGGTCCAGCAAAGTTGCAGGAGAGAGACATCGAGTTAAATAAACTCAGATCCGGTGGTACAACATCATTAGTACTCGAAGAGGTGCGGTTTGGTAACACGAAAGTAATTTGCGATACATCAACAGGCCGACCGCGACCATTTATCCCGAAAACGTTGCGACACAAAATATTCGAAAGCATGCACAACATGTCGCACCCAGGAATAAAAGCCACGATAAAGCTGATTAGTGAACGATTCGTATGGACAAACATGAATCACGATGTACGTAATTGGACACAAGCATGCATGAAGTGCCAAAAAGTTAAGGTACATCGTCATACTAGCTCTGCAGTAGGTCCGTTTTCGCACCCAGACACTAGATTTGAACATATGCACATCGATATTGTAGGACCACTGCCCGTTTCAAATGGATACAACTATATCTTTACATGCATCGATAGGTTTACACGATGGCCGGTAGCAGTGCCGATAAAAGACACCTCAGCTGAAACGGTAGCTAAAACCCTAGTCGAAAATTGGATTTCTTACTACGGTGTACCAACGATTATCACAACCGATAGAGGAGCACAATTCGAAAGTCGACTCTTTCAGCAGCTTACAGAACTCCTCGGTATTAAACGAATCCGAACGACGTCGTACCATCCAATGGCAAACGGAATGGTCGAACGCTTACATAGGCAATTAAAAGCATCCCTTACAGCCGTCATCGTTAACAACGATTGGTCTAATAAACTTCCCCTAGTAATGTTAGCTCTAAGAGCAACAATTAAACAAGACATGGGATGTTGTCCAGCC